CCCCCCTCCCCGCCCCCCTCTCGGCCCCCCCGTCTGACCAGTCCCCCTGCTCTGTCCACCACAGGAAACCTCATCCGGAGGCTCCCAAGGAAGACCGCGGTGCGAGTGGGGGACACGGCCATGTTCTGTGTGGAGCTGGCCAGGCCGGAGGACTCCGTCCACTGGCTGAGGAACCAGGAGGAGGTGGTGGCTGGGGGCCGCGTGGCCATCACCACAGAAGGCACGTGCCACACGCTGACCATCTCCAAGTGCAGCCTGGAGGACATGGGCGAGGTGACCTTCATGGCTGGGGACTGCCGGACATCCACGCAGTTCTTTGTGTCTGGTAAGGGCCCAGGGGGTCCCCTTGGACAGACAGGGTCCTTTCCCCTTTTTCTGTCCACTGGTCACCACTGTGCAGTCCCATTTGCTGCAGGGAGGGCTTCAGGGGCTGGACCAATGGGTCATAGCTCTAGTTTCTCGGACCCCTCGTTTGTTTGCTGCCGTCCTTCACTATGGTCACCCCAGGTAACTGCAGAGTAGGAGTTCTGGTGACCCCCACTCTGCGAACCAAAGTAGAAGGTACAGATTGTTCTAGGGGCCCACGTGTGGGTGAGACAGGTGTGGGACATTGTGCGTGAGCGTGTCCTCTTTCTGTGGGGCCTTTGGTATCACATTTGTAGACTGGGAGTAGGTCCCTCCCCACCGCCCCCACTGGGTCAGCCCTTTGTTGGGGTCAGTACCCTCAGAAGGGTCCCTGCGCCCTGCTTCGGTCACTGCCCAGTCCAAGACCTGTATACACAGAAGGGGTTTGTGCCCAAGCCCCCTGGACAGCTTGTTGTGGCCCTGGACCGTGTGTCCCCAAAGCCAGAGCACTCTTTCCACTGCAACCAGAGAAGTGGCCACAAGGCTGGGGCTAGGGGTCACGGGCCTGCAGCATCCCTTGGCCCAGCAGTCCCCTCGGGCCGTGGCCAGTGCAGACGGTGAAAGCACGCCCCCAGGGGGGAGGTTGACCTTGGACCCAGGGCTTGGGGAGGGAGCTCCCAGTCAGTGACGTCCTGGGGCTGTGCTCTGCCCAGCCCCTAGGAAGCCGCCCCTGCATGCCCCTGAGGCCCCTGAGGTAAAGGCCAGGACAGAGTGCTCCGTGACCCTCGGCTGGTCCCCACCACCCCACGGGGACCGCCCTGTCGCCGTTGATGGTTATCTGGTGGAAAAGAAGCGGCTTGGCGCCTACACCTGGAGCCGGTGCCATGAGGCCAAGTGGGTGGATGTGCATGAGCTGACCGTGGCTGGCGTATCCGAGGAGGGGGATTTCCAGTTCCGGGTGTCAGCTGTGAACAGCTTTGGCCACAGTCCCTACCTTGAGTTCCCAGGGACTGTCCACCTGGGTAAGTGTGCCTGCCCCGTGGGCTTCCTGGGGAAGGGGGCGCTTGGGCCCAGGCTCGGGAGGAGGAGGGCCGGAGGGTAGAGCCTGGCCCCTTCTGAAGCCTTCACCCTGCAGCCCCCCAGCTGGCTGTGAGGATGCCTTTGAAGGCAGTGGAGGCCGTGGAGGGTGGCGAGGTGACCTTCTCCGTGGACCTCACTTTGGCCTCGGTGGGCGAGTGGTTCCTGGACGGGCGGGCCCTGAAGGCCAGCAGCGTGTACGAGATCCGTCACGAGGGCACACGGCATGCCCTCACCATCCGCTCCGTGTCCACCAGCCTGCATGGCGCAGAGCTCAAGTTTGTGGCCAACGGCATCGAGAGCAGCACCCGCATGGAGGTCCGAGGTAGGAGGACCCCGGCTGTGACCCCCAGGCGTCTGCCCCAGGGGTGGGGTGGGGGCTTCCGGAGCTGCCCCTTGTGCCGGGGCAGGTGGGCTCCTGGGCGGTCTCCTGGATGAGGCAGGGCTGGGCAGGGGAGGGCGGTGTGAGGCAGCTGGCCCAGGGCTGGCCGTGGCCTCGGCCACAGGGTGCGAGTGGAGGAGGGGCTACGGAGCCTCACTCTTCTCTCTTCGCTCCCTCTGTGTCCCCCCATCCATGTCCTCTGCCCACACCCCAATGTCCCCTCCCCTGTCCCCTTCTCCTCTGTCCATGCCTCTTCTTTCCCATCCCCCACGGTCCACTCCCCTTCTCTGTCCACTCATCTTCTGTTCACTTGTCTGTGGCCTCAAGCGGCCCCAGGACTGACCACCAAGCGTCCAGTGGCAGCTGTGAGAGAAGTGCTGGCCTGGCTGCATGAGGAGGCGCAGCTCCTGGCCGAGCTGTCGGACCAGGCTGCAGCAGTGACGTGGCTGAAGGATGGCCACGCGCTGCCACCAGGCCCCAAGTACGAGGTGCAGGCGATGGCCGGGCAGTGGGCCCTGCTGGTGCGGGATGTGGTGCGAGACGATGCTGGCCTCTACGAGTGTGTCAGCCATGGGGGCCGCGTCGCCTACCAGCTCCTGGTGCAAGGTGATGCCTGCTGTGTGTGTGTCCACGTCCACCATGGTCCCAGCCACACCTTCTGTTCCCCAGCTCTGGGCGGGCTCCAGGGGGTCTGGGCGGTGGGAGCCACTGTTCTCCATCCTTGTAGCGGGGTGGGGGCTGGGGCATGCTCAACTGACCTTGGGGAGTGGGGCGGGTGAGGATGGGGAGGGGAGGCTCTGCTCAGTAGGGGGAGGGGCTTCCTAGCAGCAGGTGGCACTCCAGGGGTTGGCAGTCGGCACCCCTGCCAGTCCTGCCTCTGAAGGGGACCCTGGTCTGGGTGAGGCCCCCAGGCCCCAAGTGTCTCCATCTGCTTGCCGTGTGGGTGTATGTGTGGCTGGGGTGCTGCTGGCTCGCCTGACCACCCGTGTGCCCTTGCAGGGCTCACTGCCTTTCTGCACAAGGACACAGCTGGTGGCTGTGTGGATGCCGTGGCTGGAGGCCCAGCCCACTTTGAATGTGAGACCTCTGAGGCCCACGTGCGCGTGCGCTGGTACAAGGATGGCACGGAGCTCAGTCGCTCCAGCCAGCGCTTCTTGCAGGAGGACGTGGGCACGCGGCACCGGCTGGTGGCAGCCTCGGTCAGCAGGCAGGATGAGGGTACCTACTCATGCCGCGTGGGTGAGGACTCCGTGGACTTCCAGCTGCGTGTCTCTGGTGAGTTGCAGCCTCCAGGGCTTGGTGGGTGGGGAGCAGGTCTGGCTGCATCAAGGACTTGTGAGGCCAGGCTGTCCGGCCGTTCCTTTCTTCCAAGAAAGCCTGGGAGGGGCAGTCGCTTCTGGATTTGGGGAAAGGAACTTCCCACAGAACTAACATTTAGATGAGAAAAGATGTGGGTGTGGAAAAGAAAAAATAAGAGGAAAATTTGCAGCCCCCTTTCTCCTTTGAAGATGAGGAAGTGAGGCAGACAAGACCCAAAAGGTGCTGGAAGCATCCTCAACAGCTTAGATTGGGATCTTGATGCCTAAGGTTTTGGCTCTTTCTAGAAGCTCTAGGAGCCTCTTGGCAGATTCTGAGTCCAGCTTTGTCAGAGTCCTAGCCCTTAGTAGGGTCTTGGCCACTGCCCCCCAGGCCTCCCTCTGTCTGTCCCCAGGCACTGGCCTGGCTATCCATCATGGTGCTCAGAGGCTACTCCCCACCATGCCTAGGAGGGGTCACAGCATCAGGTCCCCCTGTGCCCGAGGAGGGTCCTACCGGCAGCACCTGACTGTGAACGATTCCCAGGGTTGCCTGGGGTGTAGAGCATGCTGTGCCCTGGCTCCAGGACTTGGGGGCCCTCACAGCAGTGGGGCTTCTGACCGTGCATCCCTCTCTGTCCCCAGAGCCCTCTGTGGTGTTTGCCAAGGAGCAGCCAGCACGCAGTGAGGTGCAGGCCATGGCGGGGGCCAGCACCACCCTGAGCTGTGAGGTGGCCCAGGCCCAGACAGAGGTGACGTGGTACAAGGAGGGGAAGAAGCTGAGTGCGAGCTCCAAAGTGCACGTGGAGGCCAAGGGCTGCAGCAGGTGGCTGGTGCTGCCGCAGGTGGGCAAGGCGGACGCTGGCGAGTACCGCTGTGAGGCCGGGGGCCAGAAGGTGTCCTTCCGCCTGGACGTGGCAGGTCAGTGATGGAGATGTGAATTTGCCTTGTCTGGGAGGGTTGTGCCTGGGTCCAGTCCAGACAAAAGTGATGGCCATTCCGTGTGAGCTGGTGTGGGCTCACCTGGGTGTCCTGGCGTAGCTGAGCTGGGGGTGATGGGTCAGTGGGCGATGGCCACAGGTTGGTGTGCGGTCTGATTGGCCCACTGGGCATGCGTAGTCTTGCATCCCTCTGAGGCCCAGGCAGACAAAGGTATGGGTTGGGTCTGGTGCACGTCACAGGTCAGTTGACAAGGCCGATGTGTCCACATCCCAGGAACAGGCCCGGAGGAGGTGTTTTGGAGGGGGCTGGGTCAGGCTCGTATCAGTCAGTTGTCCAGGGCCAAGTAACAAATACCCCCAAACCTTTGAAACAGTTGGCTCTGAGGTCTGGGTTTCGGGCAGGGCTCAGTGAGACCACCCATTTCTGCTCCGTGAGGTGTGGGCTGGGACAAGAAGATCCAGCCTGGCCTCGTCCGTGCATCCGATGTCCCGGCAGGGGTGGCCTCAATGCGTGGGTCTGGCCGGATGACAAACCTCTGTCTCCTTGTGATGTTGGCTGGTCTCACTCCTGAGTCTGGGACCCCATTCTCTCCTCATGGCATCTCTGCCCCAGGGTCCGTGTTTCCCTGTGGGCAGCCTGGGCTCCCTCACATGGTGGCTGTGTTCCCCTCAGGGAACAGCAGGTGCTACAGGGCTGGTTTGGTCTGTGCTCAGAGTGTGACCTCCATCATGTTCCACTGTGCAAATCCTGGCTTCCAGGTGGGGGAGAAGCAGATCCCACTGCTGAGGGTGTGGATACAGGGAGGCTTGGCTCATCAGGGACCATTTGTAATAGTCTCCCACAGGGACACCGCAGGGACACAGCCTGTGTCTGGCTCTAGTTCTCTGCCACCCTGAGCACTAGATAAGGGTCTTCCTAATGCTCATTGCCTCATGGTCACAAGATGGCTTCCACAGCTCCAGCCATCATATTCAAGGTGGGAAGAACATGCAGGGGGTGTTTTTGGTTCATTGTTTATTGCTGTGCAACAAATTATCACAAACTCAGTGGCTTAAAACAGCTCTGATGGCCACACCCCACTGCAGATAGCCTGGAAAAATGAGCCCCTGGCTTTACTGTCTGGGCAGTGGGACGTTGAGGGTGCAGGAGGTAGGCCTGTGGTTGAGTGGCTGGCCTGGGTCTGCTGAGGAGCCTGTGTGTGTCCTGGGACCACCCCATGCCCACATGGGGTGGCTGCACCCTGAGTCTGGAAACCCCCTTCAAGGCAGGAAGTGCCGGGGTCAGAGTGTGGACAGGGTCAGATCTCACTTGGGCTGGGTGACCTTGGGCAAGTTCTCGGTCTTGTGTCTCATGTCTGCCTGGACCACAGAATGTGGCCATATGTGGAAATGGGGTCTTTGTAGAGGTGATCAAGTGGGGATGTGGAGGTGAGAGCATCCTGGCTCAGGGTGGGCCTTGAGTCCCGTGACAGGTGTCTGTAGGAGAGAAGGGAGAGGGGGATTTGAGACGACCATGCAGTGGCAGAGGCAGAGACTGGGGAGACGCGGCCACGAGCCCAGAATGCCTGGGTGCCCCCTCCAGCTGGGAGAGGCTGGAGGGACCCTCCCGGAGCCTTCAGAGGGAGCATGGCCCTGCGACACCTTGACCACAGACTCCTGGCCTCCAGACCTGGGAGAGGACAAAGCCTGCTGTCCTAAGCACCCTGCTTGTGGCCATTTGATCCTGCCACCCTGGGACCTCATGCAGTTGCTCCTTGTGACTCAGTTTCCCCATCTGTGAAGTAGTAATGGAGCTTCTGCTTGTAAGACCATCCCTGGCCCTCTGAGGGCAGCATGGGCTGGGCCACCTCCCATCCAGACACTGTGAATTCTGGCCTCGGGACCAGGGTTCTGGGGACGAGGTAGGCAAGAGAGGAGACCTGGGCTTGCCAGGCAGGAGGGCCTGGAGGATGAGCCCAAGTGTGTCAGGTGGGTGGCACTCAGGGAGTGCGCATACATTGGGGTGCCCGGAAAGTTCTGGATGGCAGTGGCTGGCTCAGGGCAGGAGGCTGAGCACGAACCAGTGCCAGGTTAATTGAGTAAAATGCCATAAACCCACCCTTTTACAGTGTACAATTTTGAGGTTTTTAGTACATTCACAAGGTTGTGTGACCACAGCACCACCTAGTTGTAGAACATTTTCACGGCCCTATGAAACGCCAAACCTGCAATCACCGCGTGTTTGCCTTCCCCCAGCCCCTGGCAACCACGAATCCACTTTCTGCCTCTGGATTTGCCTATCATGGACATTTTATTTAAGTGGAATCACATAGCATGTAGCCTTTCGGTTCTGGCTCTTTGCACTGAGCATCGTGTTTCCAAGGTCCATCCGTGTTTTACCGCGTGCAGAGTACAGAGCCTCATTCTTACGTTCGGCACAGTAACATTCCGCCATGTGGATTGTGTCCCACGCTTTGTCTACCTTTTCATCAGCTAATGGACGTTGTGGTTGATCCCAGTGTTGGCTGTTGTGAACAGGGCTGCTAGGACATTCTTATACGGCTGAACAAATAACTTTCAATTCTCTTGGGATTGCTTGGTCATATGGTAATTTTATGCTTCACTCCCTGGAGAACCATTTCCCAGAGTGGCTGCCCCCTTTTACACTCCCACCAACAGTGTGCAAGAACCCATTTTCCCTACATCCTTACCAACACTCATTATTTTTATTTCATTTATTTATTTTTTGCTTCTAGCCACACTAGTGAGCGTGAGGTGGTATCTCACTGTGGTCTTGACTTGCATTTCCCTGGTGATGAGTGATGTTGAACATCTTTTCATGTACATGTTGGCCATCTGGATGTCTTCATTGGGGAAACATCTATTCAGGTCCTCTGCCTGATTTTTAAATTGTGTTATCTTTTTATTATTGAGTTGTAAGAATTCTTTACATATTCCAGATACTAGATCCTTATCAGATAAAGATTTGCAAATATTTTCTCCCATTCATTTTGTTGATAGTGTCCTTTGATGCACAAAAATTTTTAAATTGTGATGAAGTCCCATGTACCCTCTTTGCTTGTATGTTTGGTGTCCTATCTAAGAAACCAGTGCCTGATCCAAGGTCACACCATTTGACACCTGTTTTGTTCTAAGAGTTGTCTAGTTTTTACTCTTACATTTAGGTCTTGGATCCATTTTGAGTTAATTTTTCTATATGGTTGACATGGAGATCCACCTTTATCCTCTGCATGTGGAAATCCAGTTATTTCAGCATTGTGTGTTGAACAGGCTTTTTTCCCCTGTTAAAATTTTCTTGGCATGCTTGTGAAAAGTCAGGTGACCATCAATGTCAGGATTTAGTTCTGGATTCTCAATCCTGTTCATTGATATATATGTTTGTCTGTCCTATGTCAGTACCACAGTCTAGATCACTATAGCTTTGTGGTGAGTTTTGAAATTGGGAAGTGTGAGTCCTTGAACTTTGTTCTCTATTTTAAGATTGTTTCTGGTGTTTGAGGTCCGTTGCACTTCCACATGATTTTTAGGATCAGCTTTTCAAATTTTGCAAGAAGGGAAACTGACATTTTGATTGAGATTGTACTGAATGTGTAGATCAATTTGAGTATTGCTATCTTAACAATATTAGTCTTTCAATCCATAAATACAGGCTGTCTCTCTGTTTATGTAGGTCTTTAAATTTTTTCAACAGTTTATAGTTTTTAGTGTAGAAGACTTGTTGAATTTGTTGCTAAGTATTTTATTCCTCTTGATGCTTCTTTAAATGGTATTGTTTTTTAAATTTTACTTTTGGATGGTTCATCACTAATATACAGAAATAGAAATAACTTTTGAATCTTGGTGTTGTATCCTACAACCCTGCTGAACTGGTTTATTCACCTATTAATTCTTTTGTAGATTCCTAAGGATTTTTTTTTTTTAAGATACAAAAAGGTGTCACCTGTATGTACAGATAGTTTTACTTCATTATTTCCAGTCTGGATGCCTCTTATTTTGTTTTTGATTACTGATTTAATCTCTTTACTTGTTGTAGGTCTATTCAGATTTTCTATTTCTTCTGGGGTCAGTTTTGGTAGTTTGTGTGTTTCTATGAGTTTGTCCATTTCATCTGGGTTGTCCAGTTTTTTTTCTTTTTAATAATTTTTTATTGTTATGTTAATCACCATACATTACATCATTAGTTTTTGATGTAGTGTTCCATGATTCATTGTTTGTGCATAACACCCAGTGCTCCACACAGAATGTGCCCTCTTTAATACCCATCACCAGGCTAACCCATCCCCCCACCCCCCCCCCTCTAGAACCCTCAGTTTGTTTTTCAGAATCCATCGTCTCTAAAGGTTCGTCTCCCCCTCCGACTTATTCCCCTTCATTCTTCCCCTCCACTATCTTCTTCTTCTTCTTCTTTTTTTTTCTTTGGGTTGTCCAATTTTTTGGCATTTGCTTGTTGATGGTGTTCTCTTACCATGCTTTGTATTTCTGTAAGGTCTGTACTGATGTCCCCACATTTGTTTCTTTTGTTATAATTTGAGTCCTCTAACTTTCTTGGTCTGTCTAGCTAATGGTTTGTCAATTTTGTTGATCTTTTCATTCTTTCTATTGCTTTCTAATTCTCTGTTTCATTCATCTCAGCTATAGACTTTATTTCCTTCTTCTAACTTTGGGTTCCACTTATTCTTCTTTTTCTAGTTTCTTAAGGTATAAAGTTAGGTTATTGATTTGTGCTCATCTTTTTTGACATAGGCCTATAATATATAGCTCTGAATTTTCCTCTGAGCACTGCTTTCAGTACGTCTTATTAGTCTTGGTGTGTTGTGGTTTCATTTCCATCTATCTCAAAATATTTTCTAATTCTCCTTATAATTCTTCTTTCAGAGTGCATTGTTTAATTTTGACTGACTTGTGGATTTTCCAGGTTTCCTTCTATTAGTTATTTCTAGCTTCACTCCACTGTGGTTGGAAAATATATCTTGTATTATT